ACACACACACACACACACACACACACACTTCCCTGCGCACCCCAGTTCCTTCTCTTTCCACCTTCGCCCAGGGAGGCTCTCAGATGCACACGGATTCTTTTCAACTTGTTAACTGGACCCTGCTCACAGCTGGCAACAGAAACGCCGATGGCTCAGAGCAGCTGCTTAGTGACGTCTCCTTTGAGTGACTCCTGGGGCACGCGCGCCCTACCTGAGCTTCACCTGTGGGGTGGAGGGAGCAGCACCCCTGGATTCTGACATGGCCTAACCCAGTGTCTCTGGCTACACTTGAAGTGGGGACAGGGAGATGGCCAGGTGGAAGAACCACCTCCTGAGAGCAGAGGTGAATCTTTTCTAGAGAAGGTTCCAGAGGGAAGAAAGGCACTGAGCCTGCTTCCTTCAGCAAGAATAGCAAAGGAACCCTCATGGCCCTCAAGTAGCTTTGAAGCATGAAGACCCCGGGTGAGAGCGCAGGGCTTCTCTCCTAGCGCTCCCAAGCCTGCAGAAGTGGACTGCCACACCTTTCTCACTCAGCTGCTGGCGGGGCCCCATAGCAGCCACGCATGTAACTACGGGGCCACCAGGGCTCCTTGTCAAACACGCAAACCCCCAAACCCACAGCCAGCGAGTCCATTCTGACTCCCCCCAGGCTGTCATGGGCAGGCTGCCCTATCTTTTGTGGAGTGGCATGTGGCTGACCTTTCAATTAGCAGTGGAGTGCTTTAACCATTGGGCCACCAGGGTCCTTGTCAACCAATTCCAAACCAAGCTCACTACCACTGAGTCAGTGCCGACTCACAGCGAACGGATGGGACGGGGTAGAATTGGGTTTCCCAGACTGGAACGATGGGTAAAAAGCCTCATTGTTCTCCTTCAGAGCAGCTGGTGGGTTCGATCAGTTGACCTTGAGGTTAGCAGCCCAGTGCTTCTCCAGCAGCGCCACCAGGGCTCCTGCGCAACCGCTTGGTGATGCACATATGGAGAACTGGGCCATGGCTGCCCTCGGGCCTAGGTTTGGGAACTCTCTGACAGCTGGAAGGATGAGGCCCAGGACTTCAGGTGCCCTCCTGGGGCTTGGAGACTCTCTTCCTCCACACCCACACAATGCGGGCTATAAGATGTCCTGTGTAGAAGGGGCCCGCACCACTAGGAGCTCTGATGTGGGCAGAGCTTCAGCGGCACCAGCCCTGGGAGCTAGGAGAGGGCAGGGGCGGGGCCCTGTCTGATGGTGTCACCAGGAGGGACACGCCTTAGACCTGGCTGCCTCTGCAGGAAATGAGCCCCGCCCCGGCCCCGGCCCCGCCCCCCACAGGAGAGATCGGGAGGAGGGGATCCTGCGGGTGGGCGGAGAAGCCTCTGCCTCAGTCCAGATATCAGATTCCTGGAGCAGGAAGGGGCGGGGCTGAGGGCTGGGAGTCAGGGCTTGGAGGGGTGGGTTCTGCCCCTGAGGCTGGCCTGCCTTGGGGCACCGGGTGGATGACTTGGTAGATAGCTTGGCACCGGTGGTGCGGGGCGTCCGAGGGGGATGTCCCTTAGGTGGGAGAGGCTGAGAGTCTCCTTGCTCCCCGGGGACACTCAGAACCCGTGGCACCTGGGGGTGGGGCCTCTTAGGACACCCTCTCAGCCCTCACCAGGCAGGACAGATTCGATCCAGACGGGCCCGTGGCCTCGCAGCGTGAAGCCAAAGCTCTTGCTGCCCTTGTAGACGCGGACCGTTCTGAGGAGAGAGAAAGGAGGTGGGCAGGTGCCCATCCCTGGCGGCGCGGGGGAGGGAGAAGTCCCATGGCACGCCCCACCCCCAGGGACGCACGCGCTGAGGCCACCACCACCACCCCCAGTACCTGCGTGTGCCCCCCTGGCTGGCGCGGCCGCTCAACAGAGAGGTGGCCTTTCGTGGGGGCGGCTCGTCGGGGCGGCGCGGCGGGGCGCTCGCGCGCGTGGACACCAGCAGCCGCTCCGGCCGCTCCTCGCTGCGGCTTCTGCGCAACCGCTGCGCGCCCTGCGCCCTGCGCGCCCGGCATAGCTTCCCCAGCAGGCCCTGGGACACCACTTCGTCGAAGCGGGCTCGGTGCTTCTTGGGGATGAAGATCCTGTGGCAGGGTCGGCAGTGTTGGCGCGCCTCCTCTGCCCCTTCTTGCTGACCCGCCCAAAGGGACAGTCTGGGCAGGCACCCTATGAGCCAGCTGCTCCTTAGTCCCCACTCCCAGACCCCCCTCTGCTTCTGAAAAGTCACATTCAAAGTGTCTCCCACTGGGCCAAGTTCCTATTCCGCGGGTCCTGGGGGCGGGGGTGTCCCTCAAGGTCAATCCAAGAACCTGTCCCCCTCCTGCCTCTGAGTCTTCTGATCCACCTGGGGTCTGCTGCTCCTTCCGCAAGCCAGACCCTTGGATCCCACTGGCCATCCCCTCCCCTACTTCTGCCAAGGGTCTGCATAGGCTGCCACAGTCCCGAGTCAGGTGTCTCTGGTCCTCACCACACCCAGGGTGAGTTTGCTTTTGGGGTTCTACTTTATCTCACATGCCCAATGAACGTGAGATGAACTACTTGCATGGGGGAGGGGTTCAGTGACCCAAAGCCACGCTATGCCCGCCTCGGAGGAATGGTGGTGGCAGCATGCCAGCAGACCCCCAGTGCTGGCAGAGGACTCTGACCCAGGGAGGGGCCCTGATTTCCAGCATGGCACAGTTTGGTTCTGGGTGCTGCTGGGAAGGGGGCCCCCAGCTTCTGGGTCTTGGCGCTGTGACCAGGTGAGCCCTGAAGGGACTCCTGCTGCGGAGGCTGTCCTGGCTGCGTCCTAGGCCCCTGACCTGCCCTCAGTCCCCTGAGCCTGCATCACGGGCATGCTGGGGAGGAGGGGGAGCCGGGTCAGTGGCCTGGCTGTTAGCACTGCTGCTGCATTGAGCCTGACCCACAGCAACCCTCTAGGACAGAAGAGAAGCACATCTTCTCATAGGGTTTCCAAGACTCTCATTGTTACAGAGGCAGACAGCCGCGTCGCCCTCCTGGACGGTTCAGACTTCAGACCTTTTAGTTTGCAGCCAAGTAAACTAAACTTCTGGACTCCTCCCGTCGCCTCACACTGACTCCCTGCCATCGAAACATAGGGACCCGATAGCACAGGGTAGAACTGCCCCTGAGGGTTTCTGAGACTATAATGCTAGATGAGAGTAGAAAGCCCCATTTTTCTCCTTGGGGCTGGCTGTCGGTTTTGAACTGCTGACTTTATGGTTAGCAGCCCAACTCTTCTAACCACTACACCACCAGGGTGGAAAAACCCAGTCACCACTGAGTAGACCTGGAAGGTGAAGGAGACTGGGCAGGTTGAATGGGCTGCCTACGGGGAGGGATGAGGTGTGGCCCCAGGCCCTCAGGGAGGTAAGCTCCAGGTTCAGGGGTCCTGGCCTGGCATGCCCTACCTTGCCCATCAGCAGTGACCAGCAGCACCTTGAGGTCAGCCTATTCCCCAGATGGCTGAGCTGGAGCTGGGCTCCACCTGCCTGGCCTGCATGGCCTCCACACCTGCCCAGGCAGGGGCCTCCCCACCTCATACCCACTAGCAAAGGAGGTTGGCTGGCTAGAGACTGTCACTTTTCCACCCTGGGCCCCCAAACCCCGCTAGATTCCAGTCAGGTGGCCAGTCGCTGGGCTCAGGGCTCAGAGCAGAGCACTGGCATGCTGGGTGGAGGCAGGTCACTGTCTGACCCAGGACTGCAGTGTCCCTGCTGGGCACACATGACTCAAAGACTGGACAGCGTTTCCTAAGGAGGGACACATAGGGTCACTGTCTCCTCTCTGAGTTCCCAGTAATTGCACCCCCAGGCTCCTCTAAGGGTCCTCTTTCTGTAGCCACTCCCTGACACCCCAGCCATCTCCACCTTCTCCTGATCCCCAGCCAGCCCTGGAGGGACCTGCTCCTGGAGGTGGGGGCATGCCCAGCCCTGGGTGCTGGCATCTCAGAAGTTGCCGGTGGGTGTAGAGTTGGTTCTGACTCAGAGGAACCCAAAGTACAGAAGGAGGTACTGGGGGAATGGGGGGTAGTCGGATTCTCAACAGACACCCACCCCCCACCCCCCAGCCTCAGCCCTGTCCTTTCTGCCCCTCGACCCCGCAGGTTACAGGGGAGGGACAGGGGGAGATCTCCACTGCCCGCCCTTCATTGACCTCGCATCTCGTCCCTGACTGCACGGAGTCATCCCCTCCCGGGCGGGCCGGTGGGCGGCCTTCCTCCCTCCCAGTGTGGCCCGCGGCGGGCGACCGCCCAGTCCCATTCCCGGACTGAAGCCCCGCCACGACCTGCCCCCTCCCCGGCCGGGGCGCGCGCGTTCCCGGGGCGCGGGCGCAGCTACCGAAAGTGCCTGGAGAAGCCCTGGTCCTTCCCCATCTGGAGGCGGGACAGCGGCGCGGCAGGTGCCCAAGGGCCGGGATGCCCGAACGGCGGCGAGCGGAGCGAGGGCGCCGCGACTCCACGCGTCTCTGCAGGGCCACCCCGCGCTGGCCCCTCCCGAGCCGCCACCCTGCCCGCCCCTCGCGGGTGGCCCCGCCCCGGCGGCGGTGGGGGGACCTGGGGGCTCTTCTTCACTTTCCGCCCCTGGTCCACCTCGGTTATTGCGCACCGGGTCCAGGGTCCAGGGAGGGTTTCCTTCAGCTGGGGAGTTGGGGGTGGCCTCTGCTGGGGAAGAGGAGGTGGGGCACACAGGACAAGGGGACAGTCTGGTTGGAGGTTGCCCCTGAAGACTCCCAGGTGAGGGGGTTGGGGTTGGGGGCTGTATGTGTGTGTGTGTGTGTATGGAGTGGGGAGGAGACTCCCAGGTAAGTGGGGGTAAGGATTGGGGTGGCTGCAGCTCACACCACCATGGGGCACAGCTGAGGTCCTAGCTGCACCCTCACTTCTCTCTGATCCCGGGTCACTGCCTGTCCCTGCCCTGACCCCAGGTGGAATGCCTGGAGAATCTTCAGCAAGTCCAAGGTATCCTGCGGGAGTGGGGCGCTCCTGTGGGGGCACCTCGGCAGGGCCATGGGGACGAGGCTCCATCTGTAGGGGTCTTACCAGGAGACAGCTTGCACCCAAACAGGCAGGCCGCCCCAGGTCCTCACCTTGGCCTCTGGTCATTCTCAGGGACCCTGAAACCCCTCAGCCCCCAAATCCTGGCCCCAATGCTGGCACCAGCAGGAGGCCAGAGGCCACATCTTACCCGCCCTCCCTGGACCCAGCGGTCAGTGCCTAGCGCCCAGCCCTGCCAGAGAGTGACTTGTCTGAACCTGCACAGTGAGTGTGCTTCCTGGCACCGGCCTGGCCATCTCGGTGCGACAGAGCCCTCTCTGCCGTTGGTGCCAGCTGCAGTGGCCCAGCTTCCAGAGCCAGACCGGCTCGAGGGCTGGGGAGACTGTCCATGTGCCAAGGCAGAAGTGCCAGGAAGGCAGCAGGGACCAGCCAGTCAGCAGTACACACACTACTGCAGGGACAGTCCCCTGGGCATGGGGAAGACACTGGCAGGGACAGCCTCGGATGCACCCAGCCAGGTGGCCTGCCCGGGGCAGCCTGGAGTGGACCCAGGCCTGGACAGCAGCTGGCCTTCCCTGAGGCGTCTGCTCCAGAGAGAGGCCACTGTCAAGGGCAAGTCACACTGGGGGGCAGTGGCTCTCTAGTGGGGTGATTTTGTTACCACCTGGAGACATGAGGCTGTCACAAATCTGGGAGGGGGTGCTGTTGTCAAGTGGTGGTGAGAGTCCCGGGATGCTGCTGAACAGTCAACAGTAAAAGGACTTCTCAGGCCCAGACGTCAGTGCTGGAAAGTGGGGAGGGAGGCGAGAGGCCTTGGCTTTACAGCTCAGCTGCTAACCTAGAGGTCAGCGGTTCAAACCCACAAGCCACTGCTAGGGGGAGATGTGGCAGCCAGCTTCTGTAAATATTTCAGCCTCCAGGACTCTGTCCTGTCGGGCCTCTATGAGGCAGAGCTGACTCTTTTGGGTTGGGAATCCCAGCTCTCAGGGTTCTAAGTGAACCAAAACTCCTGGAGCCCAGTCAGCCTGCCTGATCGGAAGACTCAGCACTCAGTTGAAAGGGTGGCGGGGAGACCTGCCGAGAGGCCCTCTGGAGGCCTGGCCTGACAACCTGCTGAGCCGTCAATCACATCCCTGAAATCCCCATGGAGCCTTCTCTGCACCTTGAGAGTCACCGTGACTTCACCACACTGAGCAGACCAAACTCTCTGCCACCGAGTCCCTGCTGGCTCACAACAACCCTACGGGACAGGGTAGAACTACCCCTGTAGGCTTCTGAGACTGCGACTGTTTACATGAGTAGACAGCCTCATCTTTCTCCTGCGGAGTGCCTGCTGGATTTGAACTGCCGACCTTGCGGTTAGCAACCCAACGCATGATTCACCACGCTCTCAGGACTCCTTTCATGACTTGACAGCACCTAGCAAGGATGTCGTGTGCCTGGTACTTTTCCCTGGGTGGTCCCCTCCCCAAGCCCTGCGATGAATGCAGAAGGGAGAGCGAGTGCCCAGGGTCCCTCTGAGCCCACCTGCAGATTCTCAGAGAATCTCTGTGCTCCTTGAGACTCACCGGGATATTTTCCTACTGAGGGGTTGGGGGGGGCGGGGGGCCCAGCAGGTTCATTTCAGACTGACCATAGAGACCAGCCCACCGGCTCCAGACCATGACACCAGTGAGCAGTCCATCAGCTTCCAGGTCCTAGCTCCTTCCAGCACCCGGTGGCTCTTGGCGCCTCCCTGCCTGCCCATCCCCCTTTGCCTACTGTCTGAAGGCCCATGGGTGCCATGGGTGACACCACTTCTGGCCACCCCCCACTTTCCAAGTGGCCTGGGCCTGTCCTGTCCTAATTAGAAGCCATTTCATCACTTTATCAAGCTGGCATCCCTTTGGGGACAGACCCAAATTAGACGCCAAGCTGCTGAGGGATTCACTGCTATTTGAAGGAAGTGCCCCTCTCCCGTGTCTCCTTGGCAGCCACTGCCAGCCACGATGGCATCTGATTCCCCCAGACCCTAATCTAGGGGCTGCGGTGGGTGAAGCATCGAGCTGCAGTTTGAGGCCCCGATGTGGTAGTCTGCTTTGGTAAAGATGGCGGGCTGGAAACCCCTCGCGGCAGTTCACCTCTGTGCCTTAGGGTCACCGTGAGGGGTAAGCCACAATGCGCTTTGTTGTTGTTGTTTTTTTAACCCAATCTCACCACCCTGCAGCAGCATCCCAGAGAACATCCTGCAACACGGAGGCCACCACCCTCATCGCTTGGCTGAGCACTTGCCCCCAGTGTGGCTATTGAGGCTGAGAAGTGGGATTTACAGTTTACGGAATATCTCTGTGTTTCCATTGCATTGTCCAGAGCCTCGGTGGCCCGTGGCAGGCCCGGTAGTGCAGCTTCCTGCCTTCTGTGACTTTGGCCTCTAGACACGATTCTAATGTCTGAATGATTCTCTGCAACCTCTCCGTTAAGCCCTGCCTCCTCCTCTCCGTTAAACCTGGCCTCCCTGAGACTGAGGAGCCCAGCTGGCTCTGTGGTGAACTGCTGGGCTGAGATTCAAAAGGGTTGGTGGTTCCAACCCGCCAGCCACTCGGAGGGAGAAAGATGAGGCTGCCTGTCTTGTGGGGTCACTGTGAGGAGGATTGAATTGGTGGCAATGGGCCTGGTTTGGCTCGCTGAGATGTGTGTGTGTGTGTGTGTACGAGCTCTCAGATATCTGACGTGGCTGCAGTGGCATGGGGACCTGTAGGTTTATGCACACAGAGTGCCTCTGTGACAAGATGTCCAGAAGATGTCCAGTCAGAGGGATCGCCCCCCCCC